TATTAAAAAAAAAACATTAAATTCTACATAAAAAAAGATAATTTGCCAAAATATGTTATTTTGTTGTTGTTGCAAAAAGAAAAAAAGTTAGGTAGGTATGTAGAGTGCAATATTACATGGAATTTTCTATCCACTTCTGGGGTTTTCCCCATCATGTTCGTAAATAACAAAACACGAACTGTTGTGTTGTGTGTGCTTGACAAGAGAACGAACCTGCGAGAGCCTGTCACACAGCAGCATGGCAAAGAGTGTGTATGAGAGAGTGGGGTTATTGCAAAAACAACACACACACACATAACAGATGCTAGAGCTCACTCCTTCTCTCTCTCTTAACAAAATAACCCAATGAAAATGTGTTGATATTTGCCGTTAGTGGTAAATTGTGAATTGTGTTGGAAAACATTACCACAGGTAGGAACAAAAAAGTGCTACCTAAAATTCTACATCAAATGATAATAAATAATACTTATCGAGAAATATTGGCCAATATTTATACCAGTTATTTGCATAAATAATATATGTTATAATTTAAGCGTAGTATTCACGAATAATAAAAAATCTAATTTTTGTTTTGGTACGTTTATGTCAATTCCTTCCTTTTGTGAACAAAAAGTACGCTTGTTACAAAATTAAAAATAGAACAACTCTAATTACTCTCTCAAAAGAGAGAGAAACTCTTAACACCGATCCCGATCCCGACAAATATAAAACCACACTTGATATGTTAAAAAGAAGAAGAAGCTGAAAAAATGATATTAATCATAGTTTTACACCATAGAGGACAATAATAAAAATAATAATGTTTTTTTAGGGAAATTCCTAATAAGTGGAAATTATTAACAACTCTGTAATTATTTTCTAGTTAAAATATTGAAGAACACAAAAAACAAAGTGAATTGAAAATAAAAATGCCACAAGAAACAACAACGAATTGGTATCTCAAACCAAGGTTGTTGGTTTTTTCATGATTTGTTGCGTTTCGTATTATTACTTTTGGCCAATATGTATTGCTATTGTTGTTGTATTGTTTTCACAATGAGTGAATATGGCTGAGTTTTTGAGAATCCGTCCGTCCGTCTGTGATGACGTTTTTTATATATAATATTATATTGTTGTTGGTGGTGGCATGGTATTAGTGGTTGATTTATATATCATTTTTTGGCTTACTGTGTTGTCTTTATTTGAATATTTTTTTTTGTTTCGTTTCATTTCTTACGAGCAAATACCCAACATAGGTGGTGATGGTGGTTACTTTTTATGGCTGGTTGGTTGCTCTTCTGACTGATGAAATTTTCTTCGTCATTCCACTATATAGGTGGTGTGGTGCATTGTTGTAACATATTTTATAGCAAAAACTACAAAAAAAATATTACATTTTTTTTATAATTAATTCTAAATAGGGTTCTCTTTCTACAAAACCACAAAAAATATAAATTATTTTGTTTTTTAAACAACGATTGTTAATCGAATTGTACGAACTTCGCATAAAACCCGACGATTCGCTTTTTTTTCTTTCATTTATTTTTTTTTTTTTTTTTTTCATTCCACACGGGGCGATACTTGCACACGACTTTGGTGTGTAACACAAATGTACATTTTTTGTGGCCGAACGAGCGAGCGAGCAAAGAAACGAGACAGATTGAATATTTCTTTTTTTCTTCTTAGGATTATAAATGATTTGACGACAATTCGACGTTCGAAAAAAATATGGAAAATAGAAAAGTAAAAAAAAAATGTCCAAAAAGATTTTAAAACATACGAACACATGAAGACACAAGAGCGGGGGGAGGAGAACACCACTTTTTTCATATGAGATTCTTTTATGATAATTTTTTTTTTATTTGCCCATTATATAGTTAGATATATATATATGGAAGAGAATTACGCACTTGATCGGGGTTTCTCGGGCACTATTTTTTGTAATCTGGCAAAGACGATGACGGCGGACGACAGACGACAACAATGAAAAACACCAATATTTCTTCTTTCTTCACATTCGAAAAGAACTTTCGTTGTTTGCATATATTTTCTTCTTCTTCGTTTTGCTCTTCTATTATATCTCTATACACAGCACGTTTTCGAGTTTATTGCAAGGCAATAAATTCATGGAATATATTCTTTTCTTTGTTGTTATTATTATTGTATTATTTTAATTATTAATTTATATATTTTTTACATTAATTCTAAACGTTCTGTCAAAGTCACAAAATCACGTCATGGCTTGCCTTGCCACGTCCAAGCAACAATGAATCGTTACTTCCCACAGTGTTCCCTTTGATTAGGCAAAAAAGAACAAGAAAGAAATGAAAAAGAGGAAAATGGAATTGAAACATTGTCTTGAGCGAAAGAGAGACGGTCCAATTGACATTTTGATAGAAATCAATCGGCATTCATGTATGTGCAAAAGAGATGACAATAGAGAGTGCAACACATACGGAGTATTGCCAGATTGTGAATTTTTTGACATGACGGACGACGACGGCGACGAACAATAGTGAAATGTTTTGGCATGTGAATTTGTGGAATAATTAGCAACATTTGGCATTTAAATGAAAATGGAATTGAAATGAGAACAGGTTTTTTCAGTTTCATTTCATTCTTTTTGTTTCTTTTTGTGTTCCTCAAATTGAAATGTAATAAATGTCAATTGGTTTGGGGGGAGATATAGGTTTTTATGAACAAAGTTAAAAAAAAAAATAAATTTATGAAACCAAAAATAAAATTAAACTTATGAAACCAAAAATAAAATATAATTTATGAAACAAAAAATAAAATAAAAAAAAATTAAAAAGTAAATAAAATTAAAAAAATAAATAAATTAAAAAATAAAAAAAAAATCATAAATTTAAATAAAAATAAAATAATTAAAATTAAAAAAAAAATTATAAATTAAAAAATAATAAAGAAAAATAAAATTAAAAATAAAAAAAAATAAATTGAAAAAAAAATAAATTGAAAATATAATAAATTAAAAAAAATAAATAATAAAAAAAAAATAATAAATTAAAAAAATAAATAATAAATTAAAAAAAAATAATAAATTAAAAAAATAATGAATAAAAAATCGGCAAATTTGACTGAAATACATCCCATTTCTGAATTAAAAAGTTTGGTGAAAAAAAAATTACCTAAACTGAAAGAAAAGACCGCACATAACTCAAGATTATCGAGATATTTGAGAATAAGAAAATACAATAAATTCATTTTTTAAATTAATTTTATCATTAAATAAAAATTGTACACACACTTTTAAATCAAAGTGGCTGGAATTTGACATTCAAGGTTACTTAGATTTAAAAAAAACTTCTTTCTACAATTGTTTGAATATAGGTCCACATTTTTTAAGAAAACGCCTCTTATTGCATTTAAAAGGAACCCCCTTGTTTCGGAATATTCACAATTTAACCCACCATTTTGAAATTGAAATTTGACATTGTTGTTTGAATATATGTACACATTTTTTTAATAAACCCCAAATAAATGACTCGCTTTTTTAATGGTATTTTAAAAGAACCCCATGTTCGGAATATTTACAATTTTACCCACAATTTCAAATCAAAGTTGCTGAAATTTTAAATTCCGATTTAATTTTTCGCAAAATAAATGGAACACCATTTTTGGAATAATTAAAATTTTATTCACAATATAAAAAAAGTGGTTTGAATTCGGCATTCTAGGTTCTTTAGAGTAAAAAATGTTTTTTTTAATAGCCCCCAAAATATTGAGGACGCCTCTTTAGGTTATTTTAAAGCCCATCGACATATATTCGTAACAAAATTGGATGTAATTTAATATTTCAAGATCTCAGAGGATAAAAGAGAGCTCTTGACGGAATATATGGTTTATAAATACGTGCTGCAGGGTACGCCCTGATTTGGTTATTTTAAAGGTTTTTGATAAATTGTTCAACAGAAGTGGTTGTAATTTGAGATTTCGGATTCTCAGAGGGTAGAAGAAAAGTTCGGCTTAACCAAACTTAACAAACTCAGTTTTTAAATTTCTCAAATCTTTACATACTTAGGTTCACGGTAAAACAAAGAAAAACTTTAAATAAAATATACAAATTGTTGGATTTCAAGAAAATTACGCTGGCGTTATATGGGTTAAAACTTATTGATACAAATTATTTTACTTAAGTAAATCGATATTTTCCTTACTGATAACATATAATTAAGAGATTTACTTACCTGGCTTAATAGGTTATAATATTATTATGCATATATATATATATATATATATATATATATTCAAAATAATGATATAAAATTGTAATAATATAATAATTTGACTTTTAAGTCAAATATATAATTAATTTATAAAGAAGTTATTTTATAAATAGTTAGTGAATGTTTAAAAAGTCAAAATTTTCAAATTTATATTCCATTTCCAACATTTCAATTTCAACAATCGTATTTTTATTTTAATATCCCCCAATTATAAGTAATACCCCTAATATGTATGTAAAATACAGCTCTGCTAGTGTTTCATTTCATGTAGTTGATGTGCACTGTGAGAAACGCAAAGAGAATAAAACAGTATATAGCTCTCTCATGAGACACAACATATCTCATTAACACAAAACAACAAATGTTAGAATGAGATAGAAAAGAATGCGGGAAATTACAACAAATTGCAAATTCCTCTTCTTTTTACTAAATATTCCATTTCGTTTTTTTGTCTGTCGTATTGGAAAATGTCATAAAGAAAAAACATTAAATTGTAATATAAACAATAAACAAATGCCACACTGAATTAATTATATATAAAAAATTTCACATTTCTTTAGCGTCTGAGAGTGGTTGAAAACAAAAATAAAAGGTTTGTTTTGGTTCTCCACAAAACAAATGTTGAGGCAGCACCACAGGCACAAGCCGAAACACGGCAGAGCAAGCAGACGACGCTTAACTTTTTTGTGCCAAGACATGCTTGCGCTGCTGCTTTCATGCCATTACATTTGTCAATTTTTGTTGGTTCATTTATGTCATTCATCTCAAACTCACCATGTATAGTTTCATCATTTTCTTCTTCGGAAGCCATTGTCAATGTTCTCTTGTTGTTGTTCTGATTTTTCGTAATAAATTAACTATACTTTTATTTATTTGCAAACCCAAATAGAAATATTCACAGTTTTCTTTACACACACACACTAAAATGTATCAGATCACCAATAAGAACCAAGCTTGACTAAATCATTGGCAACGGCGATGTGGACTTTTTATATCAGAGAGCCAACGCCGTAGCGCCGGCTGTTTTGTCAAAACAAAGTGGAGTCTTTATTATTTACGTATGACTATTTTCCAACAAGGAGAGGAGCAGAGAGCGATAAATTTGTGAAATTGAAGTATTTCGTTTACAAAAAATCAATTCATTAATATTATAATTAATAAATAATAATAAATGATTGCAAATAATAAATAAAATACCAAAAATTTGGCGAAAAATTGTCAATACCTTGAAAATACACTCCTGTCTTATTCTGTCTCTTTCCGACTCTCAGAGAGTAACAAAAAAAAGCGGAAAACGCCAAAACATTGCAAATAATATGACGTTTGTGTTTTGTATCAAACGTTTAGCAAAAAAAGAGAAATTACTAAAATCTTATTATAATAAAACCAAATGCCACACATAATTTTATATATTTTTATACATAAATATGTAATTATTTCTAATTGAGTGTCTACCAAATGTTTGTTTTGATTCTTCACAAGCTGAAGCAGACATGGCACAACAAAACGCTTTGGTTTCATGGCATGACATGTTTGGTTTTTTTTGTTCGCAGAAAAAAATAAATAAATCACTTACCATGCATAGTCTCTTCATTTTCTTCGTCGGAAGCCATTGTTCAAAAAATTCAAATTGTTTCTTTTTCTTTATGTAGTTAAAATTATTTATATTTTATTTGCCAGAGATATTTTCACAATTTTCACATGCACACACACAAACATTCACCACCAGAGAACAAAGCCAAACTGAAACTTGATTAACGTCGTCACATTAGATACATGGCAGGCATGCAAAAATAAATGTAAGCCTTTAATATTGGCGGGCCAGGCTCTTTTGCGATAAAAAAAATACATTTTTATAATAAATTAAAGTATATATTTATTTACAAAAATGATCACCTAAAAAAATTTATTATTTAAAGCCCCTTACATTACATAAATTATAAAAAAAATAATTTTTTTAAATAAATGCCACGGTATATTTTTTTGTCTGCCACACGTCCCATTTAAAGAAACACCCAGCATTGCTGCTTGTTGTTAAACGTCACTATCGCTTGACAGTTAAAACGTTTTCAGTCAGGAAGCTTCTCTGCTGGATTTTGCTCCATCAAGAGTTATTCCAACTACTTCCACTCAGAAATCCTTTGATTTGGGTGGCACCACTCACTGACTGACTGACCATTTTTCATTGTGAATTCTCTCTGCACACAGACACACACCCATGATTGGTAAATAAATCTTTGATCTATTATCAGTCCATATTAATTGTGAAAATTATGTCCTATTCGCGCAAGGAGATCGATGAATTGCACGCTGATATTGTCTCCCTGGTGGCCGCCAAGGCAAACTTATCAAGCAGCGATGAACAACGCAACGTGGTAGCTTCCATTGAACACTGCCTCTACAATGGCTATGAACGTCGTCGCATTTGTGAAAAATTGGAAAAATATATGGAACCGAAATATTCCGCAAGGTTGGTTGACAAACTGCAAGATCGTCTGGACGAGTATAAGCGAAAGCAAAGAAAACGCGCCATCGAGACAAATGATACGACATCGAAATCCACGGAAGGTACGGTGGAAGTTGCAAAGAAGTCACGTTTCGATGTGGTGACGCCAAGCGCCAATGGCGCAAAGGCCGTTATGCCTCAAATTCCAACTGTCGCAGCACCGGCAACGACTTTACCCACAATACCACCGGCATCTCTGGTGCCGGGACTTGGATCAACATCGTCGCTAAACAGTAATCAAATAAAACTAATGATGGTTAATGCCCAGCGTGAAATCGAGGAGCGTAAAAGGGCTTTGAGTCAACTGAAAGGTAAAGATCCCCTGCTGGCATCTCTGCAACATCCACCACCCACCACACCGTTAATCAATCAAAACTTGGCCAAGGTCAGTAGCGAAGCTGATGAAAAGGCAAAGAAAATTGCCGAATTGCAGGCACAAATTCGTGCCAAACTTTCGGGTTCTCTGGGGGCGTTAATACCGCCCATTACACCAGCCGCCACAGAACGTCCCAAACCTTTGATTTTGGATGAAGATGGTAGGACGGTGGATAAAAGTGGTCGGGCCATTAATATTCCAACGGTAACGCCGACACTCAAGGCCAATATCCGGGCCAAGAAACGGGAGGTCTTTAACAAATCCCAACATCATGCCGATAAAACCGCTGCGCAAGATGACACCTTGAAATTCTTCGACGACCGAATAACCCTTAAACCGGGTAGTCGCAATAAGAGAGCATTGCGTTTCCACGAGCCGGGAAAATTCCAACAAATGGCCGAACGTATGCGTATGAAGGCCCAACTGGAACGTCTGCAAAATGAAATATCACAAATTGCGCGGAAAACGGGGATAAGTTCGGCCACAAAGCTGGCCTTGATAGCACCGAAGCAGGATACACCCGATGATGTGCCCTCGATGGAATGGTGGGATTCGGTTATACTCACCAATGACCTTAACACTCTGGACGAAGAAGGGAAAATTAAAATACGCCAATCGGCCATAACAAATCTTATTGAACATCCCACACAAATGAAACCGCCTAGTAAGTATTGGTGGCTCCCATGGTCATGTAGCATTTTTTGAAAGGAGTTTTATGATTAATCTTTTTGTTGTTTTAGATGAACCATTAAAACCGGTTTATTTGCCGGTCTTCCTTACCAAAAAGGAACGCAAGAAGTTGCGTCGCCAAAACAGACGCGAAGCCTGGAAGGAGGAACAAGAAAAAATACGTTTGGGTCTGGTACAGGCCCCAGAACCCAAGTTACGCATATCCAATCTGATGCGTGTTTTGGGCACGGAGGCGGTACAAGATCCCACCAAAATCGAAGCCCATGTCCGAGAACAAATGGCCAAGCGACAGAAGGCCCATGAGGACGCCAACAATGCTCGAAAATTGACTGCGGAACAGAAAAGCGAAAAGAAAATACGCAAAATCAAAGAGGACACATCGTGCGGGGTGCACATCAGTGTCTATCGCATCAAAGACCTGCAGGATAATGCCAGTAAAAAATTTAAGGTCGAAACAAATGCCAAACAATTGCACATGACCGGTACGGTGGTGTTGTTCCGTGACTGTTGTGTTGTTGTCGTGGAGGGCGGTCCCAAACAACAAAAGAAATATCGACGACTGATGTTGCACCGCATCAAATGGGATGAAGATTTGGTTAAGGGTCCCGACGGGCAAGAAGTTCCTAATTCCTGCGTTTTGGTATGGGAGGGCACCAGTCAACGTCGCCATTTCGGGGAGATTAAATTCAAGGTATTCCCAATGGAAAAAATGGCACGTGAATTTTTCCAAAAGCATCAGGTCGAGCATTATTGGGATTTGGCCTATTCCGGAGCTGTACTTGAGGCTTCTGTTGATGACTAAAAGTTGTGTACGTGTTGAATTGAATTGTTATGAAGTGAAAAAATATCAAAACATGTTTAGGCTAATATTCAGGGAACCACAAAAAATCACAAATCCTTCCCCAGATAATTCGGTGAAGAGGAGATGTGAAATTAAAATAAAAACAAAATTGCCGATTTCTTTTTTGTTTTGTTTCGGTATTTGTTGTGTGTTTTATTTTATGATGTCGAATTGGGTAATTCTTCATCTGATGTTGCTGTTTCTTCTTCTTCTTGACAGGCAATGTGTTGCTTAACCTTATTGACCAGCACATGTTTAATAGTGTCCAACATACGTAGATTTATGGCCAGCGAATGGTCACATAAACGTTCCAGAGTTTCGGGCAAAAGATAACCCTTTTGAAAACATTCTGAAATTTGTCCAACACCCGAGAGGCTAGCTGTTACCAAAACGCCATGTTCTTGCGCAGAATCATCACATCCTGGCAGGCTACGGAGAAGTTCTTCGACTTCAGCTGTTAAAAAATGTTACACAAATTCGAAATAAGATGTTGTTCTTTTTTCAAATGATGAACACCCACCTGTTGGATTAATAAATTCCTGGCCATTTAGGACACACACTGTGGAGGAGGTTAACAAATCATAGGTGGGTATACCACCTTCTATGAGGGCAGCACCACAACAATTGATGGCTGTACTCAAAGCACAGCCATCATCATCGATTATCAACACTTTAATCTCCAACTGGAAATTGGCAAATTCATGCCGGCATATAACCGGTTCCAAGGCTTTTTTCAGTGCCACACTCATGAAGGATTCTTTGCGGGCTATAACCTCCGAATCCTGGCTGGCAAAGGGGGCATATTTCACACTGCATAATATTAGGCCAAGTGTGCCGCTGTAGGGAAATGTAGAAAATACAGAATACGGAAATTCGAAAATTCCCATAACATACCTTACCTTCTGTTACTGTTTTTGCTTATCTCTTTTGGCGGTTCCACCTGGGCCATAACTTTGGTATTACCATATTCCATATAAGCTGAACCTTTGACATTTGATACAGCCCCCACTTTAATAACTAAAGAGGATAGATAATTCATTAGCTTTGATTTTTGTCGAAGTGTTATTCCAAAACGGCGAAAACTTACATGTGGGCCTGGGTTCCAATTCTAAAGTTTTGGGTATGGTCAACCTTTCGAATAGCTCTTTGGGATTTACTCGTGGAGTATAGCTACCAAATATCACACCACTTTGGGCCATTGTTTTTAGTAGATTTATTTACGGTGTTTTAGAAGAGTCAAATTATTCCCCACCAGAAACGTGTGTGTCGTTTTGTTTTGAAATTGTATTAGAGATGACATCAATTGTTTATATAGTTATCGATAATTTATCGCCGTTTAAAATGTTAAAGGCGAGTACACACAAGTATGTTTCTATGGCGCTATAGATTTGACATTTTAAATTTAAATAATCCGCTCTGTTCCAGAACCTACACCTTTCACAATGGATAGCCATGAGCGATACTAGTTCATTTGTTTCATTTATGAATCATTTAAATGAACTATACAATCGTGAGTGTGTGATCGTGTGTTGTTTGTTTTGGGTTTTTATTGTTTTGATATTGTATTAGAGATGACATAAATTGTTTATATATTTATTGCCGTTTAAGATGTTAATAGAAAGTGGACTAGCTGGAGGAGGACCGGCCTTCAATAATTTAAATAATAAAAAAACCCTGTAACAGGCAAATCAATGCAGCATTGCAAATAATCGATAACGGTATTGTTCATAATATTACAGGGTGACACAGAGAAACTGAATAGTTTGACAATCAGTGCAGTAAATAATTTGCTATGTAGCACAATTTAATAAAAAGATTATTCTAACGGTAAATATTAAGAGAGATAGGTTATACTGTTGCTAGGAAAATGCATACACACTGCTGCATTACTAAAAATCGATAATAACGTTACTATTAATATTACAGGGCGACACAGAGAAAATTAACTGAATTTGACATTTAGAAGCATTTTAAACGGTACACGACATATTATAGGGTGATACAGAGAAACTGAACTGAATTTGACATATAAAAGCATTTTAAACGGCACAAGACATAGAACAAATATAAAAATAAATTAAAAATAATTAAATTATAAAAAATATAAAATAATTTAATTGATAATAAAAAATAACGTTACCATTAGTATTACAGCGTAACACAGCTAATCTGAAAATTCGACGTTTAGAAGCATTTTAAATTAAACACAAAAATATAATTACATATATAAAAAAATGATAAAAAATCAAATAATTTAATTTATAATAAAAAAATTGTTTTTAAAAAATATATCATTTTTTAGATATTAAAAAAATATATAAAAATATTGAGAAAAAATTCACTCTTCGGGAAATTTTTCAGAAAACATTTAAGGAATAATAAATAATAAAGTCTATTAAAAAATTTGATTTTTTAAAACAAATTTTTTGTTGTTTTCCATTGTCTGTTTTTTTTTTATTATTTAATAAAACCACCACGCATGTATTTCATTTATTAATTTTTTATTTAGTTTCTATTTTCAACTACAATTTCTTTATTTTTGTGTATTTATTTTCTTCAAATATTGAATTATTGTTTAACAAAAAATTGGGGCTTTTTTCTTTTATGAAAATGGATTTCATCATAGATTTTTTATTATTTTGCTAAACATGTCCATAGTGGGGGGAGAGAGGGAGTTTATGATAAATGGTTTGTATTGCATTTTGGATATTTTAAAAAAATTACAACAACAAAATTGTGAATATTTTTTTATAAATAAAAAATAATTTTTTTATGTGGTAGTTATTTTGAAAAGTAGATTTTTCTTCGTTTTGTTTTTAAATCCTTGGACAAGCTTTTGAAAATACATACGGCCATTACATATATATTTTATTATATATAGTTGTATTTTTTTTTAATATTTTCAATTTGCATTTTGAAATCTATTTATTATTATATTTATTCCAATTTAAATTTTACAAATTTTGCTAATAAAAATGTCTTTGTGTGTGTGTTTTAGGAGGAGGTGGTTTAAGGGGTATTGGAATATTTTATTTTATTTATGTTATTTTGCTAAAAAGTTGTATTGAAATTTGTTGTTTTTTTAATGTTATGATTTTCTTTAGCTAATTGTTTGTGGATGTGTGTGGTTGAAGATGAATAGATGTGTGGGTGTATTTTTGTCGGCTTAACAATAGTATTAGAATTTGATTTCCAATTGTTTTATTATTTATTTTTGTACATTGAAAATGAGCGAAATTTGTTGTTGTTTGATAATGAAATGTCAATGAAATTTTGTTTTTTTTTTCTTAAATATTATTTTAGTTTATCTTAATAGTTGTTTTTTGTTGTTGTAGTAATAATAAATTAAATTTAGTTATAGAAAAAAACACATGGTAATTAAACTTATAAATAATAAAAAAAATCTATGTGTATATAAAAAATAGTAAATTATAAAAAAAAATTGCCACAAAAACTTTGATGATTTTTTTTTCAAAATTCATCTTTTGACCTTTTCATTCATGTTTCTTCTTGTCTTAAAAATTAGCAAATATTTTTTTTATTATTTCTTATATAAGTGGGTGTGTGTGGTTGGTTTGTTAAACGCGTTAGATGTTTGTTTGTGTGTGATTTTTAAAGTTTTACTCAAACTTTCAAGGCTTAATAGCTATGGGGGAAATAAAAAAAGAAGAAAAAAATATTGAAATAAATTGAAAAAAAAGAATCAGAACATAAAATATATACAAAAAATCGTAATGAAATATTTTTTTTATATCAAAACATATCCTTAGATGTGGGGAGAGAGAGAGAAAGAAATTTGTTGCAAAATTTAAATCACAAAATCCTGATGATTTTTTCAATGTACGGATTTTTTTTCCTCATGGTGTGAATTTAAAAAAAATCATGTCGTGGATTTTTTAAAAAATATTATTTTCAAGACGAAAGATTTTGTAAAAATATTTTTTTTTTAAAAACCCAAGAAGCTACAACTCCTCTTTCAGATTCCTACCCAAACATATCTCTCCCCACTATTTTTTTTTTAAATTTAAAAAAAATTAGACCCAAGTCCTTTGACCTACTTCAACTACTTTTCGCCATTTAAACTGCTGAATTGATAACCGATTGCGCCGCTGTTGTTGTTATGGCACCAGGTGGTGCTGCAGTTGTTACTCCCGCTGAATTTCCCGAATTTCCGCTGACAAGCGATGCAAAGGCAGCAGCTGCTGCCGCCGATGTACCCGACATAGATGTAGCCGCTGCCGTTGCGGTAATTGAAACATTTGCCGATGTTGTGGTGCTGGACGACGAATGTTCCATAAGTGGTGCAGGCGATAGCGATGTCGATGATGTTGGCGACGAACAATCACTTTGTAAACTTAAAGCTGGCGAAGCCGCCGAGGCATGATAATTAGATGGTGGTGTATGCGGTGATAGGTGAGAGGGTGACATACCCGCACCACCACCATAACTGCTACTAATCGATGAGATGCCACTTGAAGTGGATGCACCCGATGGTGAAGCCATACATGTGGGTGTTGTTGCACTACTATTCGACAAGGTGCTGTGCGGTGAGGGTGAGAAGCCCATAGTTGTGGTATTGCTTGTCGTATAGATTTGTTGATGTTGTGGTGTTGAGCCGCCGCTTGATGTTAAACTGGAAGATGAAGAGGAGTGGGCACCGCCCAAACCGGATGATGATAATGACAGATTATTGCTGTTGGAGGATGATGATCCCTGAGACGATGTTGAGGGCTGTGTGGATGATGATGTTGATGCTGAGGACGACGAATTGGCTGCATTTTCGGCTTTTTGTTGTCGCTCACGTTCTCGCTCTCGATCGCGTTGTGGCCGGAATGCTTCACGCAACGCTTCAACACGATTCTCATTGGGTCCCCAGCGGGCATGACCGGCACTGTTTTGTAGCCAAACGACCTGGGTGCCCTGCATACATTTGACATTGACATCGGTTCTGGAAAAAAATACACAAGCAATTAAAATTTAAAATTTGTTCAAGGTCTGGAATTTTTTGAAATATTTTTTTAAGACCTGAAAATTGTAAAAATATTTTTTTCAAAGACTGAGGCTTAAAAAAATTTTTTTTTTTTTTTTTATTTTTTTTTAAAGTCAGATTTTTTTTTTAAATTCACACTTTTTATAAAAAGGCTTTTTACTCACTTTGGTATTATATGCTGATAACCATGACGATATTCATGGGCCATGCCCAAAACTACCATTGAACGACGTTTATAGATGTTCTCCTCTAATTTGGCGATACTCTTCCATTCGGGTAGGAAAATAATAAAGCTGGAAAACACAACGAAAAAATAGGAAACTCACATTAGTATCTTCATAAAAATCACGAAAAAATAAAACACCTTACCTTAATGGTTCCATAGATTCGGATAATAATTTATCCACATGCTGGAGAGCAGCATCAATTAATTCCTCACAATGTGGAGGATTAACTTGAAATGAACCCGAAACCGGTTTGAAATCAAGGAAGGGTCTAGAATAAAATAAACAAAAAGATGAAATAAAAATTAAAAAAATATATATCCGTAAGACCAACTTACCCTCTCGAACCAAAATACGCATCTGTATCAGCAAATGCCGAACAATATTGACGAAAATACGAATTGAACGGTGAGGCGAAACACTCAAATGTCACGCCGAAATGACGATGCAAACACTCAAATACCGGTGTGGGCAAAGAGGCCTGTGTCAGTTCAGCTTCTTGCGATGAATTGAGAACATTTCCCAAAAATGTTTGATACCTTTTAAGCAAGCACCAAACCCGTCCTATGAATAAATCGAATTTCTTATCATCGAAACAGTTGTAACGATAAAGCTGTTCCAACTTTTGCAAATGAGTCAAATTGATATATTGAGCATCGGGTTGATTTAGCGTCGTCGGGGTATATTTAATAATCATGTGATCGCGATCTTGAACATATTCAATGGCCGGCATTCGGGGTGAGGGTACGGCAAATTGTATCGGGTAACACCACACCTTTTTGAGATGTGGTGGTGGCGGAGGTGGTGTCGGCTCGGGTATACCATGCTCTTTCAATAGGGCTAAATGTCTTTCGCGTATCTTGCGGGCATGTTCCGCCGATAGATGATATATTTTGGCACACAGTGCCTCTACGGATCCCTTAACCGTTTCGGTTAAATGGGGTTCACACTGCCGCCTTAGATGAGCCAAACGATCTTGAAAATCTTCATAGCTGGCTCCAACGGTGCGTCTCAGCCATTGGAAGGTGTCCTCAACATTCCATTTGACAACCTTTTTCGATTCCGCCGGTGCGGAACGCGATTCAATGATATTCTTGGCCGCCTCCGCGTAGCGGGACAACTGTTTTCGCGCATCTCCCGTAAATTTCGGTTTGACAATTTTTATGGGAATGTCGGTCATAATTTCACGATACATAGATGGTGATATTTCGGGTACACAATTACTCGGTAGCAGGGGATCACAGCCCGTATCGATGACCTTGCGTTCCATTAGCCAACGATTGAAGGAATCCTTGGGTGCTTTTATGTTTTCTCTACGCATACAGAGATCTTCGTAGGTTTTTACCAATTTCATGGTGTAGGCGGCGCGCAGCGCTTCTATCTCGGGATGGGGTTGGGGCAATAACGTCGGTGGTCGCTCCACAATGACGGCATTTGTGCAAACTTCCAAGTCCCAGGGACCAGCCAAGACAAACTTTTTCATAGGTGGCTGTTGATGGCCATGACCGTGCATGTGCATGTCATCTGAGGGTCGCCGCTTTAGGTTATGATGTTGCTGGTGATGACCTGGCGGTAGCTGTTGTTGCATGTGAGGATGGGGATGGGGCTGATGCATTGGTGGCATTTGACCACCATGTGATATACCCAGCGGATCGGTGAGAGGATCAAAGGGACGTGCACCAGGCATTTCCCACAGAGATTCTCCTGTGATTTTATTCCAATAGTATGGACGATTTTCACGTTTTGACCAAAATTTACGCCATCCCTGATTTACCAATTCGGCGGTAAGTTCCTCACCATAACCACCACCGGCTGTGTACATGGGTGGTGGTCCACCCTGTGGTGTGTGTGCCATGATTTGTTCCATGGGATTGGGGCCAGATTTAATGGGTGTTGAGGGCGATGAACAACTGGGGCCAGCCGGTGAATTGGCTCCCGTTATTAGGCTGGTCATTATATTGCTGCTACCAATACTGGTAATGCTGCTGCTGCTAGCGCTATTGTTGTTGCTATTAATAACTCCCATACCTCCGGGAGTTGGTGAATTAGCCGAAGATGAAGTTTCGGGTTGTATTAGAGAAGTCAATGAAGATGTGTTGGGTGTCAGATTGCTGCTGGTGGCACCACCGATGATACCCGTAGGTGTTGTTGTTGTCATATGGGATTGGCTACCAATAAGTGTTCCACCGCCGCCACCACCTGGGCCCATTATACCTCCAGCACCACCACCTGCTACTCCTGCTCCTACTCCCCCTCCAATTAATGTATGTTGAAGATTTGTGGTTGTTGTTGCTCCAGCTGTTGTTGTTGCATGATGGTGTGGTGTTGATGCTGTTAACTGATCCCAGGCGCTTTGATTATTGCTAAGGGTATTTTGTGCTGGTGTCATATTTGGTAGATGATGTTGATGATGATGTGTTACCATTGGACTAACCGTTCCCGTGGAGGCAATAACACTTTGTGGCATTAAACAATTAACACCGCCGATACCACCGGCACCGACACCACCACCAATTGTTGTCATTGACATGGTGCTTTGTTGGGGTGTTGCATTTGTATGCATGCTGTGCAGATTGTGTAGATGATTATTATTAGCTGCCATTTTTTCAACTACCAAATGTTAATCTGAAAAGAAACAAAATGAATGAAATTAAAAAAATAAAGTTAAGATTTATGTTAAATATTTTACATTTTAAATTACTTTTGATGTATTTTCCTACCCATTAACAGAAACAATTGCCGGCTGTTTTTTATTAATAATATATTTATTTCATTTGCAATTTTCCACCAATTAATGGTGTGGTATTTGATATTCACATTAAATTTTTTATTTGTAACTATTTTTAATTAATAAATTAAAAATTTAAATTAATTTTAGTGTATTTGAAGTCTATAAATAAAAAATGCGCCTTCTAATATAAAAAGGCGGCAAACGACAGTGTCAAAGTCACTTGACAAGTGTCAAATCCCATCAAGCACTATTTCTAACCAATATTCCTAATCTCACAACACACAAATGGCCGTAAAACCCTTCTCTCTTGACATAAAGAAACAAAACTCGACTTGATTATCAGTTAAATCATAACAAAAGGTAAATTGTTACTTAAATAAATAACAAATAAATAATAATATTCACATTTAATAAAATTTTAAACCAATTTTTATTTAATATTTTATAAATTTAAATAAATTTCTCGGCATTTTTCCTTATTAATCAATGTTTAATGTGAAGTGTAAATCCCTTTCAATCACTCTCACATAAGCAAACTCTGACTTATCATATCCATCTACCTACTCTCCCAACACACAAATGGCCGTCAAACACCCCCTCTCATGACATAAACAAACAAAACTCGACTTGATTATCAGTTAAATCATAACAAAAGATAAATTGTTACTTATAACAAACAAATAAATAATAATATTCACATTTAATATAATTTTCAACAAATTTTATTTAATATTTTATTCACTTAAATAAATTTCTTGGCATTTTCTATTATTAATCAAAGTTTAAAATGAAATGTAAATTCCTTTCAATCACTCTCACATAAGCAAACTCTGACTTGATGATTATCATGACAGTTAAATAAAAAAAATAAATAAATGAACATACAAAATCACTAATATTTATATTAAATATTTAGTTATAAAATATGTTATTTTATTATATTTATTATTTTGTATACATTTATAGCATTTTATCTTTTAATATATCAAAAAATAATAACCAGACATTTGGTATAAAAAAAGGCGGCAAGCGGCAGTGTCAAATGTCAAGCTTTTCAATTACTCATTATATCGGTACTCTCATAACACACATTTGTGAAGTAATTATTAATATTTATATTATATATATTTTTTTATTAATATTTTAATAATTTAAATAAATTATATTACGTTTTCTTCTAAAAAATGACTAGTCATTTGATATAAAAAAGGCGGCAAACGAACTTTGACAAGTATCAATTCTTTCAATCACTCTTTATCTCCCCATTCTCACGAACACACAATTGCACGTCAAACACTCTGAATTAATTACATGCACATTTGTGAAACATGTTTAATATTTATATTAATAATAAACTATTTTCATTTATTATATTATTTATTTATAAAAATGTAAACTGTCTCTTGTCCTCTAAAAGAATAAATACGCCATTTTAAATTAAAAGCAAGGAACTTTGATAAGTGTCAATCCTTTCAATCACTCCCACCCACAACACACAAGTGCCTGTCAAACACTCCCTCCTCCCTCTCATGACATAAACAAACTGTTAAATCATAACGAAAAGGAATTAAAGTGTTACTAATAATAACAATAACAACAAAATGAGAATTTTACAAACAAAAAGAAGAAAAATAAGAACAATAATAAAAACAAAATGCACAAGTCAAGTTAAATGTGAGTAAACTAAATAAACAAACATACACAACAGAACACCACATAATAATAATAAAAACAGCAATGATTGTGCCCGATACCGGCCAGTCGAAAGCAGGCACTCAATCTGAACAGACGCAAAATAGTTATTAGGGGGAGTTTGTTTTTTTTTTTTTTGAAATTCGAAAATTAAGAGTTTCAAAAAAATAGAAAAAAATAAATGTTTAAAAAATTTGTTAGTGCTAAAAAAAATTTGTTAGTGTGCAAAAAAATGTATGAGAAGTACATAGAGAAGAACGTCGTTACTCATTTACTGAGAGTGTGCTGCTTGTTCTTATTTAGACAGAAGAGTAGAATACATTTTGCCTCTTCTTGTTGGGGCCCCAATATAAATATGGGGGGATAACAACAACAACAAGAAAACTAGCTTGTTTCGTTCGTTCATCATTCGTTGAAATGAGATTGCTGTCGTGTTGTTGTTATTGTTTGTGTGTGTTGGACGGTGAAAATAAAAAGAAGTCTATAATCATTGATACGCCAAAGTATGATTTTAGATGTCTTTTAGAATTCATTGTAAACGGTTGGGGTATACTACGTTGGCTGCGTTTAAGAAAAACAAAAATGTGGGGTTAGTGAAAAAAAATAATAATTGAAAATATGAGAGTCAAAAAAAAAAAAAAAAAAAAAAAATCATCCCATTTAAGAAATATTTTAAATATGAAATAAAAACACAAATTTGATTTTCAAATATATATATATTTTTTTTTGAATTTATTGTAAAGAAAAATCATCGTACAGAAAAGTACAAAGGCAAAGAAAGGAAGATTAAAGGAAAATAAAGACTCTTGGACTTCTTCGCTTATGTGGGATAATAATGGTAATATTTATTAACAATATTAAAAAAAAAGACAACAAAAATATGCAATATAAAAATTTTCAAATGTGTTTTCTCAATTTCGAGATTTTTGTGGTGTTATTTATTATCAGATTCAATTTTTTTAGTTATATTTAAAATTTTATATTTATAAAAAATTTACTTTTTTTAATTTCCTGTGACTTTTTAATCTGATTTTTTTCATATTTTTACTTAAAAAAATTATATATATTTTTTTAATTTTCCATAACCTGAAAGAATGAATCGTTGATTAATTAATCAAATGATTTTCCATTTTACCTTAATAAATATAAAAATTTTATCACTTTCTAAAAATATATATTTCTTCCAATTTTTTTATTTCATGATCCTTATTTCAAAATCCTTAAAATTTCAGTTAAAATAATACATTTTTATATCGAAACAAATAAAAAAACCTATTTTCACCTGTTAGAAACAATTCATTCCAAAAAATCAACAAGTAATCTTTCTCCAAACAAAAACAACAACAACGACAGATGAGTAACGGCACGGCAATTTAAGGGAGAGTGGGAATCTCCTCTCTCATTTGAAATCAAAACAAAAATAAAGAGATACACAATTGAATCGTTCAATTTGTGGGAGAGAAAAAGGTAGAGCCGAAAATAAATAAGCGTGGTTTTATATTTGTCGGGATCGGGATCGGTGTTGAGAGTTTCTCCCTCTTGAGAGAGTAATTAGAGTTGCGCTATTTTTAATTTTGTAACAAGCGTACTTTTTGTTCACAAAAGGTACGAATTGACATAAACGTACCAAAACAAAAATTAGATTTTTTTATTATTCGTGAATACATTTACGCTTAAATTATAACATATATTATTTATGCAAATAACTGGTATAAATATTGGCCAATATTTCTCGATAATTATGATTTATTACCATTTGAAGTAGAATTTTAGGTACCTTTTCGTACTTTTTTGTTCCTACCTGTGGTAATGTTTTCCAACACAATTCACAATTTACCACTGAGAGAGAGAGAAACTCTCAACACCGATCCCGATCCCGGCAAATATAAAACCACGCTAAACATGTGAAGACGGGAAGAGAGAGAGAGAGAGAGAGAAAAAATAAATGTTTTTGTAGAAAGCAAATAAAGAAGGGCACATAACAACATGGGAAACCAGAAAATGAATGCAAAAAAAGAAGAAGAAAGAACGAAAATATAAATGAAGAACAAACGAACAAAAACAATATGTAAAAATGTTTTGACGAAACAGTACTAAGGGAAATTGGGGGAAAAAATAATTTATGAAAAAAATAAATAATAAAAAAAATAATTTAATTAATATAAAAAAATTGTGGAAGAAGAGAAAAAAGAAACACATTCACAAAAGCCCGCCAACACTAGGCCCCCTCAAAAAACACACCACAGACCCCACTCACTGACAAGTGGCCAGCCAGCGAGCCAACCTGATAGATATGACTACGTCACATAATTGCGCGCTTTTTTCTACACCACAATGAAAAAGCTGGCCCACACACACAAATTGGCCCCAAGAAAACATACTAATGAATTTCCTATACATTTTTCATATTTTATAATTTTTTCATTCAAAAATGTATCTTTTTCTTATTAAATTGAATGAAGCAGAATAAAAACCCGCCACTAAATTTTCTGATATCAGAAATTTCTCTACACTTTCTTTTTTGCTGTGTACTGCTCAGCGGATACACACTGGGATTGGCCAAGTCTTCTTGCAAGAAATAAACACTACTGGGGCAGGCAGCATTTCTTCTTCACTGGGATATAGATTTTTTCTCTACAAACAAATCAACTTCTTTTTTGCATAAATTCATAAAATTTATACACACATATGTATACTCTTTGGTTTAAAACATATTGTATTTATTTATATTTGTTTGCCATCCCGCAGTCAGGGCATTTCTTCCTCGTTCGTTTTTTCGGTACATATTTTTTCTCCGATTCTTTCGTTTTTCTGGTGGCTTTTTACACAACTCACCGTGTTTTAGGCGTTTAATTTCGTTTACTTTTATTCAATATTTTTATTATTTACGCGCAACACTTGTTAACAAAACCATTTATCGAAGGCATCGAGCTATTGTTTTGATAAACAAACAACAACAGGACAAAAAATTTACGTGAATTTCTTGTTGAAAAAGAAAAATTTCACAGAATTATTTCCTTGCATCCGTCGTTGCCGAAGTGATAATACGAAGTAGTTACGAAGTCATACGCGATTACAATTTCAGTCGAAGGCGTGCTTTAGTCCGTGACGGCGTTGCACAAACGGCGTTTGGTTGTGTGACAGTAATGGTTAAGGGTGGTTCACAGTGTATGATAATTTGTATGTATTAAGACATTTAGTGAATAAATGAAATAAAATGATTATAATTGGGAATTTTTAATTGTTTATAAACAATAGAAGAACAAAAATAGTTAAAATGAAAAAAATAAGAAAAAAACAAAATGCTGGGAAAGACTAATAAAAGCGGGGATGTATCAACAATTTTTTTCTACGGACAGAGGCGAGTATTAAAAAAATAATTAGGAGGCATTCTTAAAAATATTAAATATTAACAATATTTTTTTCAATGACCAGTACAAGCCTGGATTTTTTTAAAAAAAAATTTTTAAAGGGCTACAATAGGCGTAGATTTTTTAACATATTTTTTGGAAGGCTACCAGAAGTGTGGCTTTATATTTTTAAAATATGTTTTCGACAACCAACACAAGTGGTACAAAAGAATCTCACAGAATTATGGATTTTTTAAAGATCCAAAAGTGTGAATAATTTTAAAAGTAGTTTTCTAGGGCTACCAGAAGCGACAACTTAAAAAAAATCTGGAAGTCTATTGGATTTTTTGTAAAGACCTACCAGAAGAGCGGATTTTTTAATATTTTGTAAAAATATACCATAAACTTTGATTTTTTTTAATAAATATTGTATACATGACAGTTTGTGTTGACATTGTTAAATGTATGTTAAATGTAAGTATGACTCTGATATTCCAAAGCCAAGGTCAGGCTTGAATCCCTGCATGTGTTCCTCCCTTAAAGCTCTTCTTCATATAGCTCTCCTAACGTAGTTATTTGGGAGATTTATTAAAAATATGTTTTTTTTTTTAATTTTACCACAATAGGGAATTTCAGGCATGCTTTTTTAAGTTGCATTGGACTAAATGGTTATATAAAGGTATCACAGTCACATTTAAGTTTGAACGCCGTTTTTTTTATTCGTTTAACAATGTCAACTCAAACTGTCATGTCAATAGTCAATGGCCAATTTATGTAACAGAGCTGATCACTTAGAAAACCTCGGAATTCAAATAAAACTTGTTGCTAATCGTTTATTTAAAAAAAAATATTGCAGTTTTTCTATAATTTCTACATACAACACTGTTGTAAACCTCATCTACGTTAAATAGTCTTTCAATTGACATTTTAACGGCGTTAGATATGGTTATTCAACTACTTGATTCATTAAAATGAGCTAATGGAACTTGATGAGTGAAATAACGACAATTCCTTTTAGAGAACATTTCAATTGAATGTCTAACGGCGGTCGAAAATAAATGGCGTTTGAACTATGTGATTCATTAAAGCGAACTAGTGGAACTAGGTGAATAAAACAACGGCATTCTTTTCAGTGAATATTAGAACGGCAAATTAAAAAATAAACGCCAAATGGATTTAAAAGCCTCATTTAAGAAAAGCCTCATGTACATTCAGAAAGACCTGGAATTAGGTTTTTGGCAACCAATAACACATTTGCCACACAATGTAGCGGTTTAATTGCATTTTATATAAATGCAATTGGTCTCCTGAGTGAACAGTTGTTTGCGGGCATGAATTATACAATGGAAAGTACCATATGCGCTATATGGCGCATATGCGAACGAACGTTCAAAACAAAATCGAGGAAAAGAAAATAAACAACAAAGCAGAGCAGACAGTTTGGCAAAGTGTCACTCACTCACAGCAATTGGAGAGGAGATTTTAATTTTAGCAAACGAAATATGGAAAATAAAGGTGGTGCACAGCCTAGCCTGAGTCAATATTTTGCCAATGATCCGCCTAGCTTTTTTGATGAATTGGCCAGCAACAATAAGTCGCAGCAACCAATGGAAACAGGCATGGAAGAATTTTTATAAACAAAAATTCCCCTTAGAATAATTTCTCTTCATTCTGCCTCTAGGTGGTGACATCTTGGCTAATCAAAAGCCCTTGAATCCTCCGGCGACAGCAACAACACAGAACCCACAACATGCTACCTTAATGAATACAACACAAGGAGGTAATATGGTTGCCAATGTAGCGGGTGGTCAATCCGCGGCAGCCAATTTAACGTCTGCCACATTTACGGGTGGTTTCAAAACACCCGAATACATTGAAAATCAAGCGGAATTGGAAGAGGATATGAAAATACCCGAAGAAGTAAGGAATTTTTGGGAAACGCCGGTGACACCAAGCGGGCAACCACCGCTGCTGACCACACCGGGTATACAGACGGCAACGGATTTGGTAAGTGAAAGAGAATATTTTTTTAAATCGAAATAATTATTTTTTGGTGTTATTATAGCCCGATTTAATCGCCATTGCAGTTTCCAAACATTTGGGTGACACAGAATTGGCATATCGTAAAATTCCCGGTGTTGATAATGTAACCCAAGATGAAAGGGGTTTGAGATCCCTAATTGCCTCGGGTTGTTATCGGTCGGCAATTAATTTAACTGGCCGGTTATTGACAATATATGGACAAGGTTATGGTAGAGCTGGGCAGCCGGCCAAACATTCTCCTCACTCCCTGCAATTGTGGTTTACTCGCCTGGCTCTGCTGGCCAAATTGGGAGAAGTTGAATTACTGCAAAAAGAGGCGGAACCATTTGATAGACTAAATAAACCGGATGTTTTCTATGAGGTAAGGTATCTCCTTTCAAAATTATCATTATTGGATTTCAAAATTAATATTTTTATTTTAAGTTCTATCCCGAAATGTACCCAGGGAAAACTGGCTCTATTGCCTGCTTCTCATTTCGTTTACTGCTAGCCGAAATGCCCATCTATTTGGGTAATCCCCAATTGGCCTTGGATCGCCTCTCCGAACTATTTGTCATAACAAATGAAATTAAAACGCATTTTTTGGCCAAAAATATGCCAGAGGCCACACAATTCTGGAAGAAGCGTGAATTTAAAATCCTGCATGCCATCGTTAATTGTGCAATAATTGTAAGGATTTTGAAATTGGTTAGATTTTGAATTAAAAATTTGATATTTTTTAGTTGAAAAAATACAACCTCATCGATGATATACTGCGTAGCATGATTGCCGATGACCATAATCTGGATAAGGAGGAACGTCGTGCCTTATTTTCAGCCTGGGGTCGTATCTATCTACAAATTGGTGATGTCTTTGGGGCCGAGCAAAAATTTGCCGAGGCTCGTAGATTAAGGAAGATGTAAGCTAAAATAAATCAAGACTCATAGGCGACCTGTGTAGCGACCAAGGTCTTTAAAAAGGCCAATTGATCTGTAGGCCTTTATAAGACCTGCGGTCTCTATACAGACCAATTGGTCTTTATAAATACATGCGGTCTCTATACAGACCAATTGGTCTATATAAAGACCTGCTTTCTCTATACAGACCAAATGGTCTTTATAAAGACCTGCGGTCTCTATACAGTCCATTTGGTCTTTATAAAGACTTGCGGTCTCTATACAGACCAATTGGTCTATATAAAGACCTGCTGTCTCTATACAGACCAAATGGTCTTTATAAAGACCTGCGGTCTCAATACAGACCATTTGGTCTTTATAAAGACCAGCGGTCTCTATACAGATCATTTGATCTTTATAAAGATCAACGGTCTCTATACAGACCAATTGGCCTTTATAAAGACCTGCGATCTCTATACAAACCAGTTGGTCTTTATAAAGACATGTGGTCTCTATACAGACCAATTGGTCTTTATAAAGACATGTGGTCTCTATACAGACCAATTGGTCTTTATAAAGACCTGTGGTCTCTATACAGACCAATTGGTCTTTATAAAGACCTGTGGTCTCTATACAGACCAATTGGTCTTTATAAAGACCTGTGGTCTCTATACAGACCAATTGGTCTTTATAAACCCCTTTGGTCTCTATACAGACCAATTGGTCTTTATAAACCCCTTTGGTCTCTATACCGACCATCGAATATCTATCCATCAAAAACTTTACAAAAATGTCTTTCTTTCCCCATTTCCAGCTACTCCCAACCGGACATACGTGATCTCGTCGACAAAGGCCTGATCACAGTGGCACAAAATGATTTTCCCGAAGCCTATGCCACCTTTCAGAAGGCATTACATTTGGAAACGGGTAATACGATGATCTTGAATAATATGGGTGTTTGCCTATTGTATGCGGGGAAATTAAAAGAAGCCATAACTCTGTTCGAGCGGGCAATTAATTTAAATCCCCAGAAATCGTTGAATGAAAGCCTTTTGGTTAATCTCTCCACCCTCTATGAATTGGAATCGAATAATTCGAAAAATAAAAAATTAAATCTGCTACGACTGATAAATCGTTATAAGCCCGATTTGAATATTAGCTTGGAGATTTGCTTGAAATTGCAGACGCCAAATTAAAAGGCCGAAAAAGAAGAAAAAAATATTTTCTTTAAATTTGTGTATTAAAAAAAATCGAAAGACATTTCATTTAAATATAAGAAAATATGTAGTATTTTTTTTTGTTGAACAATATATCCATCCAATTATTTTTTGTGTATAAAATATCCTGTAATTTGTATTATTTTTTAAGTATATTTATGTATGAAATTTGTGTGTTTTTAATTTAAAGAATAATTAAATATATAAAAGGCTAAATGCGAAAAAATATTGAAACTCAATAGTTTGTTAATAATATTAATTCATTTCCAATAAAAAAAATGTTAAAAAATATTAACTGCTTCCAGGTAACACAAGATTGATTCTCCAAGATTCTCCGAGGCTGCTGAAGATAGGTAATAAATAGAAAAAAGGGTGCAAAAAGGGGAAGTGGGAAAAAACGTCAAAAATTAGTGATTGATCCAAAAAGGGTTGAAAACTTAAACTAGTATCACAGGTTGTATCACAGTTTGGAATGGGATATGGATCAGGATCACAGATGAATTTTCGCCTCTTTGATGAAGCGAATTAATTTCTTGAATAGGTCTTCCTCAGTGGATTTCAGGATTGTTATTAGGTTTTTGTGTTGGAAAAGCGCTTCTTAATTGATTATATCTTGGGCAAGTAAAAATGCAGTGCTCCACGTCTTCAGGAACACCACATAAATCGCATTGCCAAGAATCACTGGAATCACCTATACGATGTAGATCGACTTTGCAATACGAATGTCCTGTCATGAGCCTGTTAATTAATTTTGTGTCCTCCGGGCTAAAATAAATAAAAAATGCAGTTTTTTTGTATTGATGTAGATGTTGTCGTCTACGTCTATAATTTCTAAATACAACACTGCTGTAAACCTCATCTGCGTTATGTAGCCTTTCAAATGACGTTGTAACGGCGTTAGTTATGACTATTCAACTACTTGATTCATTAACATGAAATAATGGATCTTGATGAGTGAAATTACGATAATTCCTTTTAGGGAACATTTCCAATACAAAAAATGCAAAAAATAAAAAAATATTAAAACATAATATTTTATTAATAAATTTATTCATTCCCAATAAAAAAGTAATGCCGTAAACCTCATCTGCGTTAAGTAGCATTTCAAATGACGTTGTAACGGCGTTAGATATGGCTATGCAACTACTTGATTCATTAAAATGAACAAATGGAACTTGATGAGTGAAATTACGACAATTCCTTTTGGTGAACATTTCCAATAAAAAAAAAAATGCTAAAAAATATTAAGACATAATATTTTGTTAATAAAATTATTAATTCGCAATAAAAAATGAATTTTTTAGTATTTTTTTAATATTTATTTTTAATTAATTCTATTTTTTCTCACCTTTAAAATTAAAAATTTATATTTTAGCTTATCTACTATATATTCTTATGTATATTGCATTAGTATTTGTTTTTAAAAATTATTTATTTTATTTTTTTTTGTAATATAAACTAAATAATATTGCTGCTATTTATTTTTTTTACTTAAAAACTAGAATATTTTTTTTTAACAAATTTACAAAATCAATAATTAAAAAAAAACTAATTTTAAAAAATTATTATTTTTTTATAATTTGTCATTATATGACTCGCATTTTTTTTAAATTTAACATACACACATAAAAATTTTACAAGTAGTAGAATATATATTTACAAGTATTGAGCGTTTTAAGTTTGATTTTTGTTGTTGTTGTTTTAGTTTGCGTTTTGAAGAAGTAGAAAAAGAAGAAGAAAATTGCAATAAGTGGGATTTGAATTTAAATTATTTAAAAATTTAAGTCGTATGTATGTAGTAATGACATTTATTTAAATAAAAGTCCCAGTACATGACCAACAAAGGCAGGGGAAATTTTGCAGTAGTCTTCTACAAAAGAAGAGACCAAGACTTGTGTAGATCTTTGAAAAATTATTTTTTTTCTAAAAATCCACTCTTTTTTATAAATTTCTTTCTCACACATCGGAAAAAATATATATTTTTAATCCAAACCTTTAGCAGTATCCTGAAAAAATATTTTTGAAAATTCCACTCTTAGGTAGGATTTTTTAAATAACACATTTTTACTCAAGTCGTAGATTTTTTAATTTTTTTGAGGATTTCAGGTATCTTTACAAGGTGTGATTTTTTTTTAATATATTTTTTTAAACCTACTCAAGTCGTGGATTTTTCAGAAAAATATTTTTTAGGACATATTCAGGAGTCTTTTATCTAAAAAATAGTTTTTCAAAGACCTACTCAAGCCTTTGATGTTTAATTTTTGCTCTCTCAGCCTATAAAGAAAAATACTTAAAAATATAAAGCATACTTTTAGGCGTTAGACAATTTATAAAGGGAAGGCCTTTTCCTGTGATACTTTTGAGACTTTTAATGATGAGTTGAGACTTTTAATGAAGTAAAAAATCCTTTTAAGGATGCTTTGCTTCTTCTAGGCCATCTTCAGAGGGAGATCATTTGCTTTGGGGATTATCTTTTTAGGTTTTAGGTCAGCTAGGAGGACATTCTTCTCAGTCCAAAATTTTTTGAAATTTTTTAATTTCTTCCGCAAACCAACAAATCTTCTAGGGCGCGGTAGGATATTTTCATGTGTTCCATGTGTTTTTATTATTTCTCCTGCATGATCCTTTCTAATATTATTGACCATTGAATATGGTTTCCGGATAATAGCTGGGCGCATTGAACATGCGTGGAAACCCGTTTGGATCCAATTGATGATTGACAGGCAGCACAGACATGATGTCACTGGAAAAACAAAGAAGAAAAAAAGAGATCATTAAGAGGAGTGTAAAATGGGTATACAAAATTAATTACAAGGACCCTAGGATCCTTTTACAAAATGCAAAAAAAAAAAATGGAAAAAATTTTCAAGTTAAAAGATAAAAAATGTTATAACACTTGTCATGTTTGACACATAAAAAAATTCAATTAGGCCCCCCTGTTGTGGGCCACATGTGCGAGCCGCAGGACAATGTGTTGACCATACCCAAAACATTGAAGGAAGAAAAAGATAATTAGAAATCATTTCAAAAGAGGCGTCCCTTGGTCTAATTTTATTTCTTCGAATGTTGTTATTGTGTTGTACACACACCCACACACATATGTAATTGTAGAGCAGGCTCGGGCAAAGAATAACAAATTTGCGTTGCGTTGTAGATGTGTGTGTGTGTGTGTCAATGGGTGTTCAGTTGTTTCAATTGATTGTGCATGAGAGTATGATGTTATTTACTTTCGCGAGAGAGCACTCGTGCGGGGTTTTGCCTGATGATGTTGTAGAGCAATAATGGCAACAATAACAATAGCCATTTGATCGTAAAAAATCCATGCCATGCCATTCAAGTGGCCAATTTTGGCTTGTGCGCCTGCTCTCACTCTTCGATTGTTCAAAGAAACAAAATTTCGGTTCTTTTTTCTCAAAATAGTTTTCATGTGTGTGGTGTGGCAGGGCATGATGCTGTCAGGCGTCCAAAGATTGCGTATAATCAGTACGTGACTTTTTAATGGTCACTTTTATTTTTTAAAGGCAATTTGAACTGACAAAATTTCAACTTCATGAATGGAGAGCGGAGCTGTAATTTTTTTTTTTTCATAAATGTTAATTTCAAAATCGATGTTGTTGTTGTTCGTATTTTTCTGTTGTAATGTGAAGTGTTATATTTTTAAGTGTGAAATTTATGGGCAAATGGGATTTCTGAAGATTTTTTCTGCTGCCGCTTCTTTGGAATTCTGGCAGACTTCGTGGGGAGCTGGAGTTTTTTTTTGGAAATGCGTAATTTTCTGAATATTTTTTTTTATTGTGTAACATGAGTATTGAATGAGTTTTTTTATAGGAAATTAATAATTAAGTAAATTAGAATTTTTAAAAACGAACATTTCAAGAAGGTTATTCAAATGAATTTTTCAAATAGGGAAAACAATTCTCAGAAGTTGGACAAAGGGGATAATCTAGGAATTAAGGGTATTTAAGGAGATATAAAAATAAGGGATTCGGAAAAATTACAAAAAAGGCGACTGGGTTTGGAAATTTTTTAAGGGATCTACACTAGGCGTTGATTTTCAACAAATTTTTTTTTAATTTAGTTTTAAATAAAAAAAATTCATTTTTGATTTTAAATTAAAAAAAATCTAAATTTTTTTTTACAAAATATTTAATTTCAAAAGAAAAATTGATTTTTCTTCATTTTTTACATTTTTGAATTTTTTTATAATTTAATATCACTTATTTTTAAATATTTTTTACTTATAAATATTTAAAAATTTAAAAATTACTTGCAAATTACCCCAAAAATTCTTTATCTTAAAGAGTTATAATTAATTTTATTATGTGAATTCTCTTTGAAAGCACACAACTCTCTCTCTCTCTTTCTCTGTCCAGTTATTTCCTTCACACACAATTGTTGTATTATATATAGCCGTTATGAAATTTTTTGCATTGAACAGTCACATCAATAAAGATATCTTTCATCATTACACAAAGCTCCACTACACAGTTATTATTTTATTTTTTATTCTTCTTTGTTTACTTCTCTCTCTGTCATACGCATAACTGTCCATGCATGTGTGTTGGAGCAAAACAAAAGCATGATCGTCTCCCATTAACAGTGGGATGATCATATGTATGTTTGTGTGTGTGTGTATATATGCTTGCACGGCATTTACACATGTTATTTCCCCCCACACAAAGTCATCACAGTTATTATTTCGCTCTCTCTCTCTCACTGCATATAAAGCTCATTATCTTTCATCATCAAAATTACCACAGAGCTCCACTGCACAGCTATTATTTTATTTACATTCTTCTTTGTTTACATCTCTCTGCCATACGCATAACTGTCCATGCATGGGTTGGAGCAAAACAAAAGCATGATCGTCCCCCATTAACAGTGGGATGATAATATGTATGTGTTTATGCTTGCACGGCATTCACACATGTTATTTCCCACCACACACACAAATAACTGGCACAGGGAAGGGGAGAAAGTTATCACAGTTATTATTTCGCTCTCTCACTGCTTATAAATCTCTTTATCTTTTATATGGCAAGGGAAAATAATAAATGTAGCGAATTTTAATGATATTTCCTCACAATGGAGATTGCCTATTGTTATTGATTTGTTTGTCTCTTCATAAACAAGAGAAAAAATGAGAGAGAGGAAACTAAACTGTTGATTATCTTTTAAAAAATATTTTTCTTACAGATTTTTAAAGAAATATTTTTAAAGATTTTTAAAAAAAATATTGTTTTCAAAGGTTTAAAAAATAATTTTTTTAATTATTTTAAAAAATATATTTTTTTAAATTATTTTCAAAAATATTTTTTTTTAAAGATCCACACAAGGCTTAGTTTTATAAAAAATAATTTTTTAAAGATTTTTTTTTTTTATTTTTTCTCAATATTTTTTTTCAAATTATTATTATTTTTATTTCTAAAAATAACTAAAAAAGGTTAAATTTCTCTACTTACGATCTCTGTTGTGGCGTTCGATCCCTTTGCCGGCGATTCTTGAACCAATTCGAAACTTGTGTCAGCGTCAACCCCGTCTTTTGGGCCAATGTCTTTTTCTCGTCGGGCGTCGGGTAACGATTTGTCAAATAACAATCTTTTAAGGCATTGCGGGATTTTTCTTTAAAACAATACACGGTCTCTTCACCATCCCATATTGTTTTAGGTAAAGGATATTTTTTCCTTAAACGATATTTATCCACCGCACCAAGGGGACGACCCCTTACTTTTTCCGCCTCTTTATAATGCGCTTTAAACCATAAATTTTGTAAATCCGCATGATATTTTATCGAAAAACAATGTGATTCCAGTAAATTATAGACTTCATGAAACTGGCCACGATGATATGCGACAATGGCACGTGCGCGCAGTACACTTTCATTATTCTTGAATAACTCCGAGGCGGGTAAATTGCACAGGAAAGTGGTTAACTTTTCAATATCACCTTTTTGCTGCAGTGCTTCACACATGCATTGGATCTGAAACGAATTTTAATTTATTGTTTATTAATTGTTTTAAAATGAAATTATTTTAATTTAAATAATTTTTATTTAAATTTTCATTATTTTTTTCAATTTTTTGCTTAATTTTTAAATTATTATTTTTAATTTAAATCGTTCCCTTTGTTTTAATTATTTTTGATATTAAATTATCTTGTTTTAATTAACATTTTAGTTACCCCTCTCTCTGTCTCTTTACTTTTGTTTATGAACAAACAAATCAATCAACAGTAGTCAATCTCCATTGTGGGGAAATATCAATTATATTGCCAACAGTTATTATTTCCCCTTGTCATATAAAATATAAAGCACAGTCGGGCGAAGAGCAGTTAGTATTTTCCCACACATTGTCATACACACACACAAAGTAATTTTTTAGTAATAGAGCTTTATAAGCAGTGTGAGAGAGAGAGCGAATGATAATTGTGATAACTTTCTCCTTATCTCTGTGTCAGTTATTATATATGTGGGGGGAAATAACATGTGTGAATGCCATGCAAACATATACACACACACATACATATGATAGCCTCACTGTTAATGGGGGACGATCATGCTTTTGTTTTGCTCCAACCCATGCATGGACAGTTATGCGTATGGCAGAGAGATGTAAACAAAGAAGAATGTAAATAAAATAATAACTGTGTAGTGGAAAAATAAAATAATAACTCGTTGGAAATGTTGATGATGAGAGATAAAGAGCTTCATAAGCAGTGAGAGAGAGAGAACGCGAATGATAACTGTGATAACTTTCCCCTCATCTCTGTGCCAGTTATTTGTTGTGTGGGGAAATAACATGTGCGAATGCCGTGCAAGCATATACAAACACACACTGTTAATGGGGGGCGATCGTGCTTTTTTTTGCTCCAACCCATGCATGGACAGTTATGTAAAGAATGTAAATAAAATAATAACTGTGTAGTGGAGCTCGTTGGAAAAGTTGATGATGAGAGAGAGAAAGCTCTCTTTATTATTGTGAATGTTGAATGAAAAGGGCCCAATTAGGTATGTAATGACAATAACGGTTGTCGGTAATAGCAAATAATGATTTGTAATAGAAAATAACTGAAGAGAGAGAAAGAGTTGTTGTGGGCATTACAAAGAGAATTTGTATAATAAAATGAATTATAACTCTTTCATATAATGAATTAATAGGGGAAATTGGGAATTGATTTAATAAAGCTTTAAATAAATAAAAAAAAATAATAAAAAATATTACATTAAATTAAAATAATTTAAAAAAAAAAATACAGAAAAAAAATATTTAATATAAAATTTAAAAAAAGTCAAATCAAAAATCAATTTTTTAGAGGAAAAAAATATTTTTATAATTGAAAAAAAAAATCAATTATATAGAAAAAAATAGAGAGGAAAAAATTATTTTTTTTTAATTTAATAAAAATTAAGAAAAAAATAATTATATGGAGAAAAAATATTTTTTTTAAATTAAAATAAAATTATAAAAAATTAGTTTTTAATTTAAAAAAAATCCCCTCACCTGATCTGTGGTAAATTGCAGAAATTTCCGATCCATTTGTATATTGCCAACACTGTTATGTGAGCCGGTAATATTCGACAGCAGGCCCCCTGAACCATTCAAACCACGATTTAAATTACTTAAAGGATCAGATGGTTGTTGTTGCTGTTGTTGTTGTGTGATATGACCCGCTGATGTTTGATTTAAATTCATTTGATTCGATTGATTCAAACTAAGAGGTTTTGTATTACCATTCAGATCACTTTGTAGGGCAGCAGCAGCAGAGGCGGAAGATGATGAAGTGGGTGGTGCGGGTGGCGGCACAACTCCCGCCGAACCTATGGCATTTTCAAAAATCATATTATTTATTGAATTTGCATAGACGGGGCTGGTGGTTGCCGTGGGCGGAGGGGATTTATCGTAGTCACTGGTTATATCATGAAAACGACGATCCAAATCTTTGTCCGGCGCATAGGGGGAGAATTTATCTAAGTGTAAGACGGTTTTGCAGGAGATGTTGCCACGATAACCTGGAAAATAAAAAAAAAATTCATAAAATTAAAATTTTTTTTCAATGAATTAAATCCGCTTAATTACTGCTTTGGTGATGAAGCCTAGCTAGACTATTTTTATTATATGGATTTGCCCTGCATATCTGTCTGTCATGTTCGTCTTCTTCGACGACGATATGCATTTCGTAATTGTACTCCTTAAAAATGTGCTGACTTGTTAGCGTCACTGTGACGGATTTTTATTATTGTTGTTGTATTTTTTTATTTGTATTTAAATTTTTGGTCACACGTTAGGAATTTGATGACAATTAAGGAAAATTTTGTTGCATATTTTTTTGGATCACACAAAAAACATTGACAATTAAAAAAAAAAATTAAATTTAAAAAAATCTGGAAATTTTAAAAAATTTTCCTTGAAAATTCTTAAAAACGTATTTTTGAAAACTTCGAAAAAATTGACAAATAAAAAAAAATTAAACTTATAAAAAATTATGAAAATTTAAAATAAATATATTCCTGCACCTATTAATGAAAATCCTTATTTTTTTAAACAACCTTTTTTTGAAACATTTTATTTTGAAAATTTTAAAATAAAAATTAAAAAAAAAATATTTTTCCACAATTTTTGTTAGAAACAAATTTGGAGAAAATATTTTTTTAATTCTAGAAGTTGTATGTCCTCGAGAATTTTTTTTCGATTTTTGAAAAAAATGTTTTAATACTGACAGTTTGTAGGTCCTTGGAGGGAAATTTTTTTAACTGAAAATTTCTGGTCCTTTAAAAAAAATTTCTTTGAAATTCGCACTTATTATAGTCTTTGAAGAAAAACAATTTTATTCCTAGAAATTATATGTCCTTGGAGAAAACATTTTTTTTTACCAAGAGGCCCTGTTAGTCAAAAAAAAAAATTTAAAAACCAACGCTTTTATTGGTTCATAACAAATATTTTTAAAAAGCCCTGTCAGTTGTAGGTCCTTGAAAAGTATTTTTTTAAAAATAAAAAAATCCTTGCGGTTGTTGATCCTCCAGAAAATATATTTTTTTTAAATTCCGAAAGATCACGACCTTTGTAGGGTCCTAAAAAAATATGTTTTTGTTTTTAAATTCTTTAAAATCCATTTTTAATAACATTCATAAATTTCTTTTTTTTTTTGTTATTGATACCTAAAATTTTTTTATTTTTAATTTAAAAATGTTTATTTAAAAATCTCTTCCAAAATCCATTAAATTATTCCTTAGTAATCAATTTCTGCCTTGAATGGTATTGAAAATCCCTTTAATTTACTCACCTGAATTCGGCAGAAACAGAGCCCCATATGATATCGGTGAATGCATGTTATTATCCTGATTATGATGATGATGATTTATGGGTGAATTATCCGATGATGCACCGCCGGAGCTTGTCGAATCTAAATCGCCACCATTCAACGATGACGATAAAGTATTATCCATATTTTTTACAAACATTAAGCAATTTTCTTATTATAATATTTTTTTTTTTAATTTTTAAAAATTTCTTTGGTTTTTCTTAGCACTACAAAATTCCATTTAATTTTTTTTCTTTAAAAATATATGTTTTTAATTAATATTTTTTAGATTATTAATTTAGAGGGGTTTTTGCTTATTTTTTTTTTCTTTTGAATATCAAATTCACTCTCTAGTATTTTTTTTGTTATTTTATTTAAATAACTCCACTTAATTATGGTTTTATACAAGAAAAAACAAGTCTAAACACCTTCTTCTTGTCACAATTAAACACACTGAGACATGTCAAACGGCAACGCGAGAACCTTACGCCTGCGAAGTTCTAATTGAACTGTTTATTGCATAGCCGAAAATGATTGCACAAATGATGTACCCACACAACACAACGAATGAACGGCACAAACAACAACAACAACCCATACAACAACAAACAAACGGTCGTCACAACGATGTGTGTGTGCTGTTGCTTGCTGTGCCGTAGGAAATGAAAGAGAGAGCAAGAGTTGGCAAGCAAACAAACAACAACAACAGCACAGCAGCAACAGATAGGCCTGTTTCCATTGCACACCTTTAAGCAGGCACACACACGCCGATGCTCATACACACGAATGTGTACACACACACACGAATGCTCACAAACACGAAGGCTCGCTCACACACACGAACCGCTCTCACATACGCACTCGTCACCCAACCGGCCCTTCTCATTGAATGGCCAACGAATCACATTTCACTGTTATGCAGTGAAGTACTGTTGTTGTTGCTGTTCGTGTTGTTTACATTTGTGTGGTATTGCTGCGGTGGTGGGGTGGGCGGAACAAAATGAGAAATGAAACACTAATGCTTGCATTAACTGTTAGGGGTTGATTTCATCCTGTTTCCTTGTTGTCAAAAGGAAGAAAGGGCGTAACCTTTTCTGCAGTGTGTGTGATGATGATGCGACAACAACAAAACAATAGAAGAGACGCCATTTTTTCCTTTACTCTTTCCATTGAGAGTTATGAATTGAATTGAATGTACTATACGAAACAGGTTAGTGCGTGTTTTGTTTTTGTTGTTTTTTTGTTGTTGTGAAGATTTAACAAAGCAGGCCCTTCAGCCTGTGACATTGTTCAATGTTACATCATAGTTTTTGAAATGAGAGAGATATCTCATATATCTGAGGGATTTAAAGAAGAATGAAAGTGTTGTTGTTTGTCTCTTTGTTTTAAATTTCCGGATTTAAATTTTGTGATTGCACAAAATTGTACATTTTTCCAATGAATCTTCATTTGATACTGGTAATTTATTTCGATAGTGGAAATAGAAAATATCGGTTTGTTCTAATTTCGTATATAACCTTGACCTGCAAATGTTTTTTTTTTTCACTTGCAAATAAAAGAAGGAAAAAAATATTTCAAGGATATCTGCAGATTATTAGGAAACCTTTTTTGTAATGAAAATAGGATCTGTTTTTACTATTGTTTTCGATATCATAAAGGAATTATTTTTTATCGTAGTAAAGAGTAGCAAAATCTTGTTTCAATAATTTTGAAAAAATGAAAAAAAAATATTTGTTTTTTTTTATTTAGAAAATTTCCACAGAATTTCTAAAATTCATTCACCATTTCGCTTGCACTTCGTTGTTTATAATAATTTTGTTTATACATTTTTTTATTTATTTTTTTATTTTTGTTGTTGTTGTTTTTGTTTATTTATCTCATGTTGGTCATCATATTTTTCTTGTTCTTGTTGTTTTTTGTTATTATTGTCATTTTAGCGCAATTGCCATTCAAAGTATCAAATGATTTATTTTTTGTTTAGTTGTTGTTGTTGCTGTCAAAATTCTTAGGAATTTTGATGTTTTTTTGTTGGCCGTGGTAGTCCATTTGCACAATTTTCAGTTCATTTGATTTATTTTTTTTGTGAAGAAGAAAAATAAACATATTTTGAAAAAGATGGTATTAGGTGTTGGAAAAAAATTAAAGAATAATAGAAATTAATTTAAAAAAAAAATAATAAAATTTTATGAAATTATAGATGTTTTTTTGAAATTTGAAAAAAAAAATTAAATCAAGTGTAATGGTTTTTTTGATTTTTTTTAAATATTTTAAAATTAAATATTTAAAAATTAAAAAAAAATCTAACATTTTAGAGAAAAAAATTATGTTTTTGCAAAATAGTCAGGCTGAATCCCAGTTTGTTGTTTTTATAAAAAAAAAAAAAAAAAAAACAACTATTTATTAGTGGGGAATGTATGGCATTGTTTGCCGAGGGGTAAGGCAGGGAAGACTATAGTTTCGGATCACGCCACTGATCCTCATCAGTTCCCTTAGTTTTTTGTTGGGATATTCTCCCCAGAAGCTATTGCTTCTATACAAAAAAAACCTTTCATACCCAAATGTCTCTTGTAACAAAGCGAAGTACTTAGCTGACCAACGACATAAACTGCATGAGAATTTCGCTGGAGCCTCACTTCGAGGTTAACAAGGCATTTACAAACAATACCACACCTTTCCCACTGTTGTGTGTTGTCACATCGCGACAAATGCACACAACGACTTTGTTGGTGTTGCTAGTGTACAGCAACAAACCAAACAGTTTAACCGTGCCTGCGTCTACAACTTCAGTAGTGTTGGCGGTTTATTTGGGATACCATTTGTATTTTGTTTTTGCAAAATAGTCAGGCTGAATCCCAGTTTGTTGTTTTTATAAAAAAAAAAAAAAAAAAAAAAAAAAAAAAAACAACTATTTATTAGTGGGGAATGTATGGCATTGTTTGCCGAGGGGTAAGGCAGGGAAGACTATAGTTTCGGATCACGCCACTGATCCTCATCAGTTCCCTTAGTTTTTTGTTGGGATATTCTCCCCAGAAGCTATTGCTTCTATACAAAAAAACCTTTCATACCCAAATGTCTCTTGTAACAAAGCGAAGTACTTAGCTGACCAACGACATAAACTGCATGAGAATTTCGCTGGAGCCTCACTTCGAGGTTAACAAGGCATTTTTTATAAAAACAACAAACTGGGATTCAGCCTGACTATTTTGCAAAAACAAAATACAAATGGTATCCCAAATAAACCGCCAACACTACTGAAAAAAATTATTTTAAAAATAAATATTTAAATTATTATTGAAATCAAATATTTCAATTTTTGAAAAAAAAATTATTTTGAAAATTCGATTTTCAAAATATATTTATTTTGAATTTTTTTATTTTGATTTTCAAAATATATTTATTTCGATTTTTTTTTAAATTTCAAATTTTTAAATTTAAAATAGTTTGAAAATCAAATTAAAAAAATCAAGGTATTTTCAAAATCGAATTCTTCAAAAAAAAAAAAAAAAAAAAAATCGAAAAATATTTTTAAAATATAATTTACAAAAACAAATTGAGAAATTAAAGAAAAAAATAAAACAATTTAAAAAAATTGAAATCAAATATTGAAAAAAATCAAAATTTTTGAAAAAAATTGTTTTAAAAATTCGTTTTTAAAATATACTTATTTTGATTTTTTTTAATTTGATTTTCAAAATATTTAGATTTTTTTGAAAATTTGATTTTTCAAAATATATTTATTTCTATTTTTTTAACTTAAAATTTTTAAATTCAAAATATTTTGAAAATCAAATAAAAAAATTAAAGTATTTTCAAAATCGAATTCTCAAAAAAAAAAAAAAAATCGAAAAAATATTTTTAAATTATAATTAACAAAAACAAATTGAAATAAATATATTTTGTAAATAAAATTTTGTAAAAAAAAATCAGAATTCAATAAAATTTGATTTTCACAAAAAATCTAAAAATTTCCAAAATGAAACATTTTCAATTCTACATGAATTCTAATATATCAAAATTCATATATAGTACCTTACCATACTGTACCCTACCATATATTAGAGTTATCGGAAAAAATTCCGAGTTACTCAAAATTTACAATAAATCTTTTTTTGGAGTAATCATTCATTTTCTCGTTGCCATAACATTTAATGTAATGGGAATATTTAATTTATATAAGCGGATTTTCAAAGAAGGTAGTCTTAGCTTCAATATTGTCATTAGTGATTTTAGTCTACCTTAACAAATTATCGAGATATTTGAAACCAATCACTTTTACTCCAAATTTATTACGAAACAACTTCGTTATGTAACCAACCTCTTGAGGCCGTAACTTTTGATGTGGTTTGACTATTTGAATTATTTAAACTGATTTTTAAAGTAGATAGTCTTATCTTCAAAATTGTTATTAGGTATTTTCGTGTACCTAACCAAATTTTCAAGTTTTATTAACAAATACACAGTTACTCATATTTTTTATTATCAGCCGATTTTTTTGCAGTAACTAATTTCTTGGGGCCATAACTTCTGAAGTAATGGGAATATTTTTATTATATAAGTGGTTTCTGATAGTCATTTCTTGTAGCTTCAAAATCGTTATTAGTAGATTTGGTGTATATGACGAAATTTCCAAATTATCGGAAAAATATTGAAATTACTCAAAATTTACTACTGACCGACTTTTTTCAGTTATCAACTTCCCGAGACCACAATTTTTGAAGTTATAGGGTTATTTTGTTTATTTAAACTGATTCTTAAAGAAAATTTTCTCATCTTCAAAATTGTCATGAGTGGATTTCATATAGCTAATCAAATTTTTGAGTTATCGCCACAAATACACAGTTACTGATAATTTTTTAGCAGCCGATTTTTTTTCAGTAACCAATTTCTTGAGGCCATAACTCCGGATGTAATGAGAATATTTTAATTATATAAACGGATTCTGATAGTCATTTTTTGTACCTTCAAAATTGTCATTAGTGGATTTGGTGTATCTGACGAAATTGCCGAATTATCGAAAACAAATTGAAGTTACTTAAATTTTTCAATTAATCGACTTATTTCTGTAATCAATTTCCGGAGGACACAATTTTTGAAGTTATAGAGTTATTTTAATTTGATAAATTGATTCTGAAAGAAAATTTTGTCATCTTCAAAATTGTCATGAGTGGATT